CAAAACATTATTTATACAGTTGTTTATATAGAAGTTAAGAAAATCGTATAAATCTAAAAAAGGCACAAAAAATGTAACAACTGAATTAATATTTTCAGTTTTCACAAATGCATTTTCCTTGTTTTCCACTTGATGGAGTAATAGGACTTGATTATAAGAAGTTATTTTATTTGTGACTTGTGTCAAAGAAAAAGTACATGGATGTGTAAAAGTATATTTGGTTTCCATTCTATTGCTATCTCACTTAATTTGTCTCATAATCTTGGCTATTTAATTAGTTGGCCAGTGTTTTTGCTTTTCTCCTCTCCCCACCAAATAGGTATTTGGTGTGTGATATTATCAATCCATCATCATTAGTTTTATTTTTAAAACATCTTTCCTGTATTAATCTTTTATACAAATAAGGATGTACAGATTTTATATTGTAAAACCAGCTGTAATTCATATCACCTGTGAAAGCAAGTCTACAGTTTTTTTTCAGACCTAAAAGAACTTGTTTGAAATGTTTGTTTCAGTTTGATTTAATGTGGATGTCGATATTCAACTGCTAATATGCTTGTAAAATCTTTGTCACTTCTCACTGATAGGAAAGTATGTGATCAAATATGAATGTTTAGTTTTAACAATTTTTACATGCTTGTGCAGTTGTGTATATTATGTTGGTTCAAAATAATTTTGATATGATTAACAAAGTATATTGCATTGCTTGTATAGTAAGAGGTGTTGTAATAAACAATAAAGGTTTTTTACCTTTCATACATATGTTAGGTTTACCTTTTGATAAATAGTTGTTTTGTGACTACAATAGCAGGTATTTTATTACATTGTCCAAACTCTGCTCTTAAAAGTCTGTCTGCAGATTTTGGCCAAAAAATTGCCTATTCCTTTAATTTAAAAAAAGGTAGATCTAAAAGCTAGCAGTTCAATGTACTAAATGCTATTCTAGTAGAAAAAATGTTGTAATTGAAAGTATACAGTACTTGTTCTTTGTATATAAACTGAGCCTTAATCTATCTAATCCTTCACATCAACAAAATAGGGGCACGTTTGCCAAAAATAGTTCCCAGTGATGAGTTGACCAGATGTTTTCTGAGATGTAGATACTTTGCAGATGTGGTAGGCAGATATTATCATTTCCCCATTAGAAATACAAGAATTAGTATCCCTTAATTTCTGGATCAGCTATGGTTAAAGCAACAGAACAGAAACCAGAAGACTGAGTTCTTGTTTCAGTTTAGGCATGAAAGCTTCTTGGGTAACTTTTGGCCAGTTACTTTCTCTAAGATAGAGTGTCAAACTCAAGGCCCGTGGGTCAATGTGGCCCACGGGATGCTTAAATCTGGCCTGTGGGGCCAGCCTGGAAATAGCAAAGGACTGGCCCACAGTGCCTCTGCTAGCAAAAATGGGGCGCGAAGGGGTGTGCGCCCCCACCGTGCCCCATTTTCAGCCTGGGTGGCCTGCAGCACTCTGCCAGTCAAAATGGGGAGCAAGGAGCCATGCACACCCTGTTTTGGCCAGCAAAGTGCTTCAGGAGGCATCTGTCCCATCTCACCCCACACACACACACACCTGGCTGGCTGAGGAGAACTACAGTACTGATTAGACCCTCAAAGAAATCCAGTTTGACACCCCTGTTCTAAGACCAGTTAATCTCATAGAGTTGTTATTGTAGAAAATGGGGAGGATGGAGTACATTCACTACCCTGAATTATTTATAAAAATAGAAAAGTGAGATAAAAATACTTTTTTTTTACTCAAAGTAACATTAGGGCAAACTCAATTTCACTGAAGGCTGCATCAGGGTTGAGTTTGACTGTGGGTGTGGGTGTGGCCAAGGTGGGTGTGGTCAGCTCAACATCACTTATGTCAGGGGTGCCTATGGTGGCCCAGGCGGAGCTGGGGGAGTCCATTGCTGAAGAATGGAGGAAGTAGAGACCATGGAGAACGACAAACTCTTATCCTCCAGAGGAGCCTCATCATCCCTCTCAGGCCATGTGGAAAGCTTCCAGATGGCGACACAGGCTGTCCAGAGGCCTAGGCAGCAGAGGGCAAGCACCCAGCCTGGCCCTCAAGCTCCCAGACACTGCAAGCCCACAGCCCAGCTGAACCCCGCTTCCCCAAGGGCTGTGTTTTCCTCCTAGGTTGCTGCTGCTATTCTCATTCTCCTTGGTGAGGTTGCTCAGGGTGTGTGCAGGAGGGCAAAGTGTGTGGGTCAGAGGGAGGCCCACTCCCTTCTCCTTCCAAGGAGACCCAGCTTTGTAACCAAAGCATCCTCAGCAATAGGATGGAAGACCAACAGATGTCAGGAGGAGGAGACGAGGATGGCGAAAGGGCAACAGGGTCACTGGTGGCCAAGTGCGAAGGCAGGACTTCTTTCAAAACCTCCCTCCCTCCCTCTCAATATAATCTTCCTTCCTTCCCTTTTTCCCTTTTCTTTTTCCTTCCCTCTTCTTTCTTCTTCCTTCCCTTCTTTTTCCTTCCTTGGTCTCATCCCCTTTCCTTCTTTTTCTTTTTCTTTCCTCTTCTCCTTTTGTGTCCCTTCTTGGATGCCCAAATGCAAAAGGGGAAACATTTCTCAATGCCCCCTTGCCTTGTGATCAAATGCCACTTTTGCTAGTAGTTTGTTTTGCTAGCATTCTGCCAGTGAAAATGGAGCTCAGGATCGCCACATTTTTGGCTGTGACAGTTCCTGCAGCACTCTGCCAGAGAAAACAAGCTCCATTTCCTGCTGCGATGGACTCCTACTGTTCTCTGTCAGTAAAAACTGAACTCAGGAGAGCTGTGAAAGCCTCCTGGAGCGCTTTGCCAATGAAAACAGAGCTCAGGAGGGCTACATGCATTTTCGGCTGCAACAGCCTCCTGCAGTCCTCTATCAGCAAAAATGGAGCTCTGGAGGGCCACATATGGCCCTCCCAAGTTCCGTTTTCGCTGGCAGAGGCACCACGGGCCAGTCTTTCACTGTTTTCAAGGCGGCTCTGTGGGCCACATCTAAGCATCCCATGGGCCTTGAGTTTGACAACCCTGATCTATGAAGATACTGGTGTTACTGCCTTACAAGAAGGCTAGGAACATAAAAGTTTAAGCATGTATGGTTGCATAGCAAGAAACAGGCATTTATGGTGACTGAATCATCTTTCCATACTGCAATATAGAATTTAATCTCATGGTCTGTTTGTCCTCATGACCATTGCTATTAACTGCAATAATTTTTTCAGCTACCCACATTTTTCAATTCTTTTATTAGCTATTCCACACATTAGGTCACATTAGGTAACAATTTTGAGAAGCGATTGTGTGATATCTAAAAGTAGTCAATTTTGACAGCCAGTTATTAGGGAAAGACTAAAAAAACATTTTAAGCATTCTGATACTTAGTTGACATGAGAATTCATTAGAAATATGCTTGTATATTTTTTGTCTAGAGGTTAGGTATTGGAAGTTAAGTAAGTGACTTGGGGCCAGTCATTCTCCTCAGCCCTTGGAACAATGCAATGCAAACCACTTCTATAAACAGTGCCTAGAAAACTGCATAGACTTGTTTATTTATTCACCTGAAGTCACCTATAAACAGTGCCTAGAAAACTGCATAGACTTGTTTATTTATTCACCTGAAGTCACCTATAAACAGTGCCTAGAAAACTGCATAGACTTGTATATTCACCTGAAGTCTAACTCAGTCAAACAAAAAGAGAGGAAAGGCTCCTATATTTTACGGGTCCTTCTGAGTATAACACCGATCAGTGGTAGGGGAGGTGTAGGTAGCAAATTATTATTTTTTCGATAATTTTAGAACTAGGGATTGCTCAATGAAACTATTAGTGATAGTTCAGTGTGAGTAAATGTGCGTGCGTGTGCATCTTAAAATGAGATTGTTAAGCAAAGGCCATCAACGCCAAATACAGAACTACTGTATATACTCGAGTATAAGCCTAGTTTTTCAGCCCATTTTTTGTGCTGAAAAAATCCCCCTTGGCTTATACTCGAGTCAGATTCCCCTCTGAAAAAAAAATGGTGTGGAGTCGCGGCCTCCGGCGGCAGCGACTCCCAACAGCCCCAGCCGGGAAGGGAAAGGCAAAAAGCGCTTTGCCTTTCCCTTCCCGAGGCGGCGGGACTGGGGCCGCGCCGGCGGTAGTGACTCCTGACTCAGGGGGCCTCCGAGGGAGGGGAAGAGAGTGACTCCTGCCTCCCGCTGTCATCATCATCTTCTTCTTTTGGGTTAGTGAATCAATTAAACTTTTCATGATAGTGAGATCGTTTCCCAAATTAATTATTTTTATTTTTGAAATTTACCAGTAGCTGCTGCATTTCCCACCCTCGGCTTATACTCGAGTCAATAAGTTTTCCCAGTTTTTTGTGTAAAATTAGGTGCCTCGGCTTATATTCGGGTCGACTTATACTCGAGTATATACGGTAATTAAAATACATTAAAAAGATGTGGATAAGCACTAGTACAGAGCCATTATTAAGACAGATAGTATTTGGCTTGCAATGGCAATTGAGCCCAAGTTGCCATTGCTTAGTAATTCTGGAAGTCTGATTGCTGTTGTTAAGTGAGGACCTCATGTGACTTTTGACTTCCTGCTAGCTTCCCCATTGACCTTACTTGTGCAAAGCTGGTTGGATTTTGTGAGCATGTGACCATGGCTTGCTACAGTGTTGTAACTGTGCTGTGACCATGGGGACATTGCAGTGACTGGAACTTTGAGGACAAGTCTTAAGTATCATTTGTTCAGCTTTATTGCTATATTGAACAGTTACTGAAGAACTATTTATAAGCGTAAGAATAACGTGTACATCTTTTTTGCATTCATATGCTGAAGCTGTACTTTCTCTTCATCTGTTGCCACACAGCATTTTGTTAAACCAATTAATCAAAAGTATATTTTGTATAAATTAAGGAGTCTTTCTGTCTTTTATATTGAGATATTGCAGTTTTCCTCTTGTCTTTGAATCATTATCTTTTGAAGTTTATCTGCTTAAACTTTTAAAATGTGTTTTAGTGAACGCATTCAGCAGGTATACAGGGAACTGAAGAGGGAGATGTCTAATTTGCATCTGGTGACTAAAGTGCAAGCTGAGATGCTGAAGAAACTGAAATTGGTTCCATCTACAACTAAGAAAGGCAAGTACATATTTGCGTAGTTAAAAATCTGAAAACAATGCATAGAATTGTTGAAATTTTGAAATGCAGCTTGTTACTATATCTTAACTCAATTGTATCAATTTAGACTGATAGGTCTCATTTTTATTGTAATTCCAATCTTCTTTCTGTAGCTGGTCAACTTCACACATAAAGGTGTTGCTGATGCGGCTTTCTATTTTATGCTGTATTCTCTTGTCATTTTCCTCCCTCAATCAGATGTTATTTGTACAAGGCTGAGGTGTTAATTGTATTTGACCCTTTATTGCAACTATTTTATATTTTTAAAAAAGTCCCATAACTTTTCAGTTTTCAAATGTACTTTTACACATAGTTAACTTTTTAAGAATATAAAAACAAAAGCTATCATTTATTACCTTTTCACTACGGTAATTTTTAATCTTAAGCTTCATTTTATACACAATATTTCTACAGAGAAAGTGCTTTTGATAATTAGATTACAAACTTATTTTTAAATGGAAAATTCTTGACTGCTCAGGAAATTTTTTGCACTCTCAACATTCTTTAAGTCACACTCTTTCTTCCAAGATTGAAAAGCACTTGAATAAAAATTGTTATGTTTTTATGTTAATGGAAGCCAAATTAAATAGGTATATTTAATTGGCCCATGATGATGTCATAAGTGAAATAGATGAAAATTGCATTTTAAAATGAATTTAAGGGAATGTACAGTACTCTAACTCTGGTTTATTAAAAGTAAAAAAGGCCATCCATAAGGTACAGGTTATATAGGAATAAATATGGGAACTGATCAAAGAAAGAACAAGCTTCCTACAATCACATGGCAGTAAGAGATAAATTTGTAATTAGAAGAACAGATATCTGCTAGGTACTGTTAATAGCATCTGAATTGTATTAAGTGTAAATGATTCACAGTAGCCCCCAAATTAAATATATTTGGTTCTTTCCACAGTGCCATCCTATACCTCTGTTCAGCGTATTGAAGATCTTGAAAGGGATGCTACCAACCTCCACTTAGGTGCTTCTGGAGCAATATGCAGAAATAGATTACTTCAAACAAGTGGTGATGTTTTTGGTAATCTTGCATCATCCTCACCATGTATTAATGAGAAATTTAGTTCTGCATGTGACTCTCCATTTCTGGAACATAACTCCTATGGAAAAAATTCTCTGGAAGATAATTCTTGGGTATTTCCAAGCCCTCCAAAACCTAGTGAAACAGTATTTTGGGAAATGAAAAACAGAGTGACTCACTTAAACTTTCCAGGAAATAACTTAGATCAATATAACCAAAATTGCTTGCATAAGAGCTAAGAACAGAAGGAGGAACTTGAAAGTAGTCCTGAACAAGGTCTTGAACTTGTTAGTAGAAAATAAGAATGGAGAGGAATATAATAAACTTTCAGGCTGCATGAGATTTTCCCTGTTATCTAAACTTGAAAAACAGTGAATTCAAAGAAATATGGTGAATGAATCTGTTATATTCTCAATTTTCTGATTGCACATTGGCAGATTTCTAAAATATTAAATTGTGGAATAAAACAAAAACATCATGTGGTATGAATAATATTGGTCCAAAGTATGTTACATTCAAACATTTTGACAAGCTATGAGAAGGATTTAGTTTTTGGACAAGTTTTGATTTAAGCTCGGGTAATAATATATTCAATTCTGAATATATTCAATTCCCTGGCTTTTTATTAATGTATGATATGCTGAAAAGGAGTAAATAATGTAGAAATTACTTTCATTCCTTTTTCAATTTATCAACTTATCCTCATTACCCTATGATAAAAAAATTGAAATAGGGTAAAATGGAAAAGTTTCTAAATGCTGCAGTAAAATATTTCATCACTTCACAAATAATAATATGTATTTATTGCTTCTTTTGGGGGGGATTTCCTGTCCAAAATGCAATGATTGTTTTGAGGTGAAATATCCAGGCTCCTTAATACAGCTAGGAAGAACTGTAATATTCCAAATATTGTAATATTTCTATGATTCCACATTTCTGATATATTCTATACTAAAGAAGATGCATTTGATCCAAAATACTGGATCCATTGGTAACCTCATTATTTAACAGCATTGAAATAATTTTACATCTTTTCTGTCTCATTTTAATACCACTAAATTTTGGTTGAACTCGTATACTCTTAAATCAGTAGAGAGGCTTTTATCAGTATATAAGTAGGTAGATTTCTAACAATAGTTTTATGTTCCTGGTATTTTGAGATGCTGAAACAGCAGGGGAAAAGGTCAGAAGGACCTGACAATATAATGATGGACCAGCTGCAAGTTTTGTTTACTTCAGTGCCCAGATCTCATCTGGTCATTCCCATATGTACAATTCATGTATTCTGCCATTTCCCATTTGTTTTTGAATGGGTACTTGAAAGATGAATAGAGAAAAGTAAAATCTATACTGGAAGAAATAATTGTATGTTCCTGAAAGATAAAGCTTCTCATGTGGTTGTGTAGATGAACAGCACAACTATATCAGTGCTATCTTTCCTTTCTTCCTTTGCATTGCACTTGATATAATTCAATACTGGTGCTTTCTATCTTATATTACTAAAGAGAATATAACCTATGGAGGCAAGTGAAAGCATGGAGTTTTTTTCCTGTGTTAATGAATGGCACACATAAATAATGTTCCTCAGATTTTTTAAAATCTTGTCTTGTTCATCCTACCTTGTCTGTGATTAATGGAAATGGTGTCATGCAGGAATTTATTCTGACCAATGAACTCATAGCTGACTCATGGGAGTACAATCCTCTTGTAGAGCAATAGAACAAACCCCAATATGCATATAGTAAATCTAAGCCACTGATTTCAGCTGATAGAACCAACTACCTGTATAATAAAAAGAAGTAGCAGTAGCCATTTCTCATGTGGCTGCATAGCTCTAATGTTTCTCAGGACTGCTTTTTTGGATTAGATTCTTGAATAAGTTACCATTATTCAACATGCCAAGCCACTTGTTTTTAATGATGTAGAGAGGATACAGCCATGTTTTTAAATAATTTATTTTTGTTTGAACAATTGGATGAAAATTGGTAGAAATCTTTTTTTTATTTTGAATGCTCTGCTGTCAGCCTCAGGATATCTTCACCCCTAACCATCAAGATATCTTCACCCCTAACTTGCTTATTTGTTGCTATGCTCTTTTTCTCTCTTTCGGCTGCCATGAAACGGTGGGAGGGGGGGGAATCTTGGAGGGGAAGAAGGCAGGAGGTGTTTTGCATTCC